AAATTAGTTAACTATAGAATCTGTAAGTGAGTAATCCTTAAAAAAAATATTATTATAATAATGATTTTAAGGTAAACTTATGATTGATATAATTAAGCTATGTTCATAAACCCTAAAAAGGCAGCAAACTATTCTATACTATTTTTTAAAGAGTAGCAAGATAATATTTATTTTCACGTTTTTTATTTTAAAACAAAAAACAAGGTAGGTTATATAAGCAAATACATACATAGCTTGTGCAATGATGATGGAGAAGAAAAATAAACGAATTTGGCAACATATTCATTCTATCTATAATTCTGGCGTTGCACGATCACGACTATGAATAATTTTGATGCGAAGAATAGAAAATTCATAAAGAAAAAAGAATAGTTGGACGTAAGATTCATGGTGCCTCTCGAATTTGGAACAAGGGCACCCTTTCCCCTCATCTTTATCCTCTCCATTATGATGTTATTATATAATATAGAAACAGAAGTTGGATTCCAAAATCACATTATTGAGATCTATGAAAGATATGCATGCCTTTTCAAACAATTCATGTTCGGCCCAAACGAAATTTATCTGAATTATTTTAAATTTTTCAAAAGTTCAAATTTCTATTTTTTTTTTCAACTATCAACTCATTTGATATATTGCAAGCATTGAATGGGTTTGTTCCCGTATATAAAACATATTTAGATAAATGATTGTCTAAATATGTATTTAAATTTAAGTTAAGCTAGTCTTTATTTCTTTATTCTAAATTGTTTTTTTCAGAAGTAGTAAAAAAATGAAGAAAAGATGAATATATATAATCTATATTCTTCTGTCCACAAAAACAATAGGAAATAGTGATTGAAGGTGGAAACTTTTAATAATGATGATTAAACGTTCTGCAAAATTTAATATTCATTTTTAAGTTAATATAATTTGGGAAAAACTTATTTCAGCATCCATATAATTTGAAAGGAAAATAAAACACATGTAGTTGAATATTCGATAATAATCATATAAAATTTTCAATAATTACAAGTCACATGTAAAAAGTATTTATAAGTAATTAATAATTACTAAAAAAAATTAAATGTAAGTTAATAATAATGTAGCTTTTTCTAAGCATGTAAACTAGTCCACCTACTTATGTATTTTAATATCTGAAATTGTCAAAAATGAATAGTTCAAATTAATCTAAATTGAAAAATTTAATAATTCAATCTCTTCTATATTTTAAAATAAGTTATAATTTTTAGATAAGATGTAATTGAACAATTTTAATCTAATCAAATTAAAAGAAAATTTAAATATTTATACTAAAACAATTAATTAAAAAATATTTAAATAAAAATTAAAATAAAAAATATTTTCAAAATTTAAATTATATTAATAAAATTAATTTTTATTTAAGATATAATAATTTAATATATAAATTATAAAATAATAAATCCATTTAATTTTAAAATAAAAATTAAAAATTTATTCTTCATTATAATAAGTCATTAACCATTAAATTTTGAAACAAATTATTTAAAATAATCAAGTTATAATAATTTATAATAAGTAAATATTTTTTTAATAAAAAATATCACTTTAATTTCTATTTAAAAAAATAATTATTATTTTATAAAATAAATTAGTTCATAAATTTATAAAGATAATTTATTTTAAGATCATATAACTAAAATAATTTTAATTTAATTTAAAGCATAATTTTTTTTCTAGTTTAACTTATTTTTTAACCTTTCATTATGCATGAAACCTATTTTAACATTTATAACCTAATATAATCTTCTTACTTGCGAACCTGTATAAACTATAAATCCTTAAAAAGGTATTACCATGATTAAGCTTAGGTTTCTAAGAGGACACACAAATTAAAATAAAATCAACCTCACACCAAAGCTAACAAATAATATATTTTATTCTTATTATGCATGCGGTACCATTGGAAACACTTGTGAAATAGACTTAAAAGAAAATGCACGAGTAATTCAACGTTAATGCCTCGTCCAAGCAACTGGTCAAGATTACTTCACTCTAACCAATGGGATCAACCCTACGTACGACTAGATTTCATAAACACCACTCATGTGATGATAAAACACGTTAGGTTAAGCCTAATTCATATTAATAGTTTTAGTTTATTGGTTCCTTTTAACTTATTTCATCTAATATATTGAATAAAGATAAAAAATAATAAGATGTGTTGACTAATTTTTTAAAAATGTATTTATATATTAAAATTAATATATATATATATATAATTAAATATTTTAACATGTAATAATTTTTTAAATTTATTCATTATAAAAGACAATACACTAACTGGAAAGGAAAATTAATATATTAATTATGTAATTTATTTTTTTACTTTTTTACTTTTTTTAGAAAATGTTTTATTATTAAAATGTTTACTTTTATCGATAATATATTTAGTTTTATATATTGTATAAAAATATTAATTAATAATTAAAGATATATAAAAAATTATAAAATAATCTTGCTCGTTGTTAAGGAATTAGAGGAGAGACAGATTTAAAAAAAAAAAAAAAAAAAAAAAAAAAAAAAAAACTCAAAATGTAAAATTAATTATAGTCAGTGGATCCAGTTGAGACTTGTGGTTGGGAAATCATTTGTCCCCTACCTTCCTAATCCATCACTTATCTCACCATTCATGACGAAGACAATCTCTAAACAGATTTCATCCCCAAATCACTCAACGTCCTTTAAGACTGGAACATTATTTTCTGTCCTCTGATTTTTTCTTTCTGTCTCTTTTCTTCGTAGGCAAGTTTTCTTTGTTGTTATCTTATACTTGTTTCCAATTTATTAAACAGTCAAAATTCTCACTTATGCATAATTATTACAATTAAAAAAAAACATTCTATAATTAAAAAGTTTATCGGAAATAGTTAGATCGGTAATGGAGAAAGGTATATATGCACCTATATATACATATGTTACCTCTCACCAGTTCACTTTCATGATAAGAAACAACTAAATCAAAGAGAAGATGATTTTGAGACCTCACCATGCAAAAACAATAGAAAAGATGGTGTTGTCTACCACTTTATTATTTATATATGTTTGTTGTTTTGCTTATTGGGTGCTGTTTGGTCCATCTCAGAACTTGGATTGTAATGCCAAGTTGGATGAACCATCATTATGATGATGCCTTGTGAATTTCACAGTTTCTGTTGTCATTTGCACCTAAAATGGTAGGGACGAAAATGGGATTGCCAAACTGCTGTCATCTTCTTCACAAACTATATATCACCATATTAGTGTAAGAAAAAATCATTGAGATGTAAGAAAAAGTGAAGGAAATTCAGAACACAAGAGTATTACAGAAGAAGAAATCTAGGTTAAATATGATTTTACCTGGTTATGATTTTTGGATTTAACATTATTTTTATGATTTTTTTTTTAAATAATATTGCTATCACTGACCTACTTGGCAAAAGATAAATATTATATAAAATAATTTCTAATGTGAAAATTATATAAAGAATTAATTTTTGAAAGTTTCCATCTGAAATTTTATGTTGTTTATAAAAAAGGTCATTTTGATAATTTTACATAAAAATGTTGAATAAATTAATAGATTTACCGATATATTCGCTAATGTTTTAATAAAAAAAAAACTAAATAAAGCTTAAAAAAATACTAAAATAAATCTGTCAAAAACAAATTATTAAATAAAAAATTTTAAAAGGACATGTTAGCTAATTTGTTAACCTTAAATATAAAGGAATAAAAGCAACATTTATTTAAAAATATCATTCTATATGTTCTCTCATCCTTTTCATAAATGATCAATTGACACAGACCACGCTAGGAAAACTATCTAAATTTTTGAATTTATTAATATAATATATTTTAAGAGTGTGATAATAGAAATAATATATAGTCTACTTAGTGCTAATCTTTTGTTTTAATAAAACATAATATAATATCTTTTATTCATTAATAGTTTTTCATAATCTGTTAAACTATTTTAAAAAAATATTTAAATAAAATTATATTACTAATTTAATCATAATTTATTTTATAGTTAGAGATTATGATATAAGTTTATGAATATATTATATAAGATATTGCCTTCTCAAAATCTCCATGACATGTTTTTTAATCATTGTTAAGAACATGTAATTATAAATATTTTAAATATGGTTGATATTTATATATTTGAATGAATAACTTTTATATAGTTAGCTGTGTATTGTATATTATATATTTTTGTAGAACTTAAAATATGTAAACCAATTATGACTTGTTATTCCTCTGCGTTGTTGATTACACAGAAAAAAGGGGACCTCAAAGGACCACTATGCATGGTTAGTACATTTAGGTAGTTCCTTCATAATAAGAATGTTCTGCAACACATGATAATTTTGAGCTTTGGTATTGTCCAACTAGGTAGCTTGCCCCATATAACAGCATGTGCACATGACCCAGAACACACTAAAACAGCCAACGCAGTCATTTTCCCAATCGATATCCTTTCACATTATATGTTGCACACAACAGCTACAAACCCTTCTGCTGAATCGCGTTCCAAAAGCTTTATTAGCTATCGTAGATATATCTGGTATGTACCTTAGTGCACAACTTGCTTGTATGTTTTTTCACCACCTCCTACTTTCACTATAAAAGTTACTGCAACAAAGACTCAAGAACTTAACCAAGTAAATAAATAAAAGACAATATATTATTATTTAGTTATTATTCCCACAATGGCACATTTTAGTGAAAGCTTTTATCTATCCGTATCTCTAGTTAATGCTTCAAATAAGTGTGTTTTTAATTCTTCTATGTGAAAAATAGTGTTTGAGGAAGAAGAATAAAGGTACAGTCGACATCTTTATGATTATTACTTTATATGGAGAAAAGGGAATTTGGGTATCCAAGACCAAGATACAACACAAATAATACAGGACATAAAGAGTAACTTTGAGGAACTAGTGCTTTAATGTTTAAAGGAGATTGAAGAACAGTAGCAGAACACAGGCCTCCTCATCATGTCAAGCAATGCATTAACTCTCTTTTTCTTGCTTCTTAAAATCTCCTTGTTTCCAGCCCTTTGTGCTCTGAACCAGGAAGGTCTCTCTCTACTTTCATGGCTCTCAACTTTCAATTCCTCTGATTCTGCCGCTGGTTTTTCTTCATGGGATCCAACCCACCGAAATCCATGCAGATGGGACTACATAAAATGTTCCAACGAAGGGTCTGTTTCAGAGATCATAATAACATCCATTGATCTTCATACCACCTTCCCTACACAGCTCCTTTCTTTTGGCAACCTTTCCTCTCTAGTCATCTCAAATGCAAATCTCACTGGTGAGATTCCCAGTTCATTGGGAAACTTGTCATCACTCGTTACTTTGGACCTCAGCTTCAATGCTTTATCAGGAAGCATTCCATCTGAAATAGGAAATTTATACAAGCTGCAGTGGCTATACTTGAATTCAAATTCCTTGCAAGGTGGAATTCCATACCAAATTGGAAACTGTTCAAAGATGAGGCAGCTGGAACTTTTTGATAACCAGCTCTCTGGTTTGATTCCAGGAGAAATAGGCCAGCTGACTGATCTTGAAACGCTTCGGGCCGGTGGAAACCCAGGTATCCATGGTGAAATTCCAATGCAGATATCAAACTGCAAGGCTCTAGTTTATCTAGGCCTTGCTGACACTGGCATATCAGGGGAGATTCCACCAACTATAGGAGAATTAACGAGTCTCAAGACACTTCAAATCTACACTGCACACCTCACAGGTTACATCCCACCAGAGATTCAAAACTGCTCAGCCTTGGAAGAGTTGTTTCTCTATGAAAATCAACTTTCTGGAAATATTCCTTCTGAACTGGGTTCCATGAAGAACCTCAGGAAAGTACTTCTGTGGCAGAATAATTTTACTGGGACAATTCCAGAAAGTCTGGGGAACTGTACAAGCCTGAGAGTTATAGATTTTTCTATGAACTCTTTGGTTGGTGAACTTCCTGTGAGTCTCAGTAGTCTAATCTTATTGGAAGAGCTTCTTCTGTCTAATAATAACATTTCTGGAACGATACCTTCCTATATTGGGAACTTCTCCAGTCTGAAGCAACTGGAATTGGATAATAATAGATTCTCTGGGGAGATTCCACATGTCTTGGGGCAGCTGAAGGAACTCACCTTGTTCTATGCCTGGCAGAATCAGCTCCACGGAAGCATACCAACAGAACTCTCCAACTGTGAGAAACTCCAAGCACTTGATCTTTCACATAATTTTCTCAGTGGGTCCATTCCAAGTTCACTATTTCATCTAGAGAATTTAACTCAGTTGTTGTTGTTATCAAATAGACTTTCGGGTCAAATTCCTCCAGATATTGGCAGTTGCACCAGCTTGATCAGGCTAAGGCTGGGATCAAACAACTTCACAGGTCAAATTCCACCAGAAATTGGATTTTTAAGAAGTTTGAGCTTTCTTGAATTATCGGATAATTTATTCAGTGGAGATATACCCTTTGAGATAGGTCATTGTGCTAAGCTAGAGATGCTTGACTTTCACAGCAATGAGTTGCAAGGAGCAATTCCTTCCTCATTGGAATTATTAGTTGGTGTTAATGTCTTAGATTTTTCTGGAAACAGAATAACTGGCACCATCCCTGAAAATTTAGGCAAGCTAGAATCTCTAAATAAGTTGATACTCACCGGAAACCAAATCACTGGTTTGATCCCTCAGTCACTGGGCTTTTGTAAGGATTTACAGTTGCTTGACATAAGCAACAATAGGATCAGTGGTTCCATTCCTGATGAGATTGGTCACTTGCAAGAATTAGATATCCTCTTGAACTTGAGTTGGAATTCTTTAACAGGCCCTATCCCAGAGACCTTCTCAAATCTCTCCAGACTTTCCAACTTGGACCTCTCTCACAACAAGCTCAGAGGTAGTCTTAGGGTACTGGGAACTCTTGACAATCTAGTTTCTCTTAATGTCTCCTACAACAGTTTTTCTGGTTCTCTTCCAGATACAAAGTTCTTCAGGGATCTCCCCCCTGCTGCATTTGCTGGCAACCCTGACCTATGTATTACCAAGTGTCAAGAAAGTGGACATCGCCAACGAATCAAGTCAATAAGAAACATTATCTTATATACCTTCCTTGGTGTTATTTTCACTTCTGGGTTTGTTACTTTTGGAGTAATCTTGGCTCTGAAAATTCACGGGGGCACTACTTTTGACAGTGAAATGCAATGGGCTTTTACTCCATTTCAAAAACTCAACTTTTCCATCAATGACATCATCCCAAAGTTATCAGATTCAAACATTGTAGGTAAGGGCTGCTCAGGAGTTGTTTACCGGGTGGAGACTCCAATGAACCAGGTTGTTGCAGTGAAGAAGCTGTGGCCACAAAAGAATGATGAGCCACCAGAGAGAGACCTTTTTGCTGCAGAAGTTCACACCCTTGGATCAATAAGGCACAAAAATATAGTGAGACTTTTAGGATGCTACAACAATGGAAGAACAAGATTGCTCTTATTTGATTACATATGCAATGGGAGTTTGTCTGGATTGCTCCATGAAAATAGTTTGTTCTTGGACTGGGATGCAAGATATAAGATCATTCTAGGAGCAGCTCATGGATTAGAATATCTTCATCATGATTGTATCCCTCCAATCATTCATAGAGACATCAAGGCTAACAACATCTTGATAGGTCCACAATATGAAGCTTTTCTTGCAGATTTTGGCCTTGCAAAACTTGTTGGTTCCTCTGATTATTCCGGAGCTTCTGCTATAGTCGCAGGTTCTTACGGATACATAGCTCCTGGTGAGTAAATATAGAGTACCTTGATGCCTCAATAACCACATTTAGAACTTACCACTTTCAGCATCTTATATTCTCTGCTTATGTCGTCATTCTACCTTCTTAAGAATATATTTTTCTGTATTTTATAGTAATATACGGTCAGTTTCCTTGTTTGATTATAAAGTTATTTTCATAGCACAGATTCAATTTTCAGAATCACATGTTTCATCGCTAGTTGTGTTGCTCTGAAATTAATAAGAATTTTTCTCCTAACTCTGTTTGTTGACTAATCACACGTTATCTGACTGACTGCAGAATATGGATACAGTTTAAGGATCACAGAGATGAGTGATGTGTACAGCTTTGGCGTAGTGCTAATTGAGGTCTTAACAGGAATGGAGCCAATAGACACAAGGATTCCAGAAGGTTCCCACATTGTCCCATGGGTTATCAGAGAAATCCGAGAGAAGAAAAGAGAATTCGCATCATTTCTGGACCAGAAACTAGCAGTGCAGTGTGGAACACAAATCCCTGAGATGCTTCAAGTGCTAGGGGTGGCTCTCCTCTGTGTGAATCCATCCCCAGATGAAAGACCTACAATGAAAGATGTAACAGCAATGCTGAAGGAGATCAGACACGAAAATGTGGATTTTGATTTTGAGAAGACAAAGCTTCTACATAAAGGAGTTGTCAACAATCCAAAAGGTGCAATTCAGTGTCCAAGCTTCTCTAGATCTTGTAGACCTCTGACTGAATCACCATCTTCTTCAGTGTCACCAAATTAAAAACTACACTAGTTGCACTCCTATTATTCTTTGCTTAATTGTGTAGATTAATATTTATATCCGACGGCAAATCCGCATTGTAAATCATTTTCTATAGTCTTCTAAGTTAAAACCCCTCACGTAGGTTAACCATGTCATACAATTGCTGTCAATGTATAAAGTACTACTCTTGTTTCATCCTGACTGCAATAAAAACAAGACCCAGAAAATATCCGCAAACACATTCTTAAATAACCGTCATCAAATTGTTATCACTAATCACAATCCTACAATTGAAGAAAAACATGCTTGTAAGGAGAGTACTCTCACTAATAAAAAACCCTGCTCTTTTGGATAAACCATGTTAAATGAAGTGAAGACTGAACAAGGGTTTCTTTGATCCAATGAAAATTGGCAATTATTACTTATGGGACAGGGGCATTGAGAAAAGTAAAGTGACATTGTCTTCTTTCCCGGCATAAAGCCTAGAGAACACAAATGTCTGAGAATAGAAGCATATGGAGCAGCATCTTTTGATGAACGTGCCCAACCATTGCTTTTGCTATGATAAAGATATATTGTGCAGTGCTGCTACATGTTGTGTACATGTTATCCAAAGATCTCTGAATCTTCTAGCCATGAGATTGGATAAAATCCTTGGCCCACCCATATTTTAATGGATATCTTGTCTCCTATGATAAACAATCCAAATTCCCCGTACACAAACATGCATACAGAACGGAAAGGTAACAGGCCAAAAGTACTTATATTACATTATTTCAAGTATGGCTGTTACGTTAACTCTTTAAAATAAGACAATTTATAAAAATATTTAAAAGGAAAATATATTAGTTTAAATTTTATAAAATAGTATGAATTAATAATAACAATGAAATATATTTAAATATTAAATTTTCAAATTTAAGGATTTATTTGAATTCTTAGACATTCTTCTAGAGTTGAGGTGGTATCAATTTAGATATAAGTAAAAATAAACATTTATTCATTAAACTCAATTTTAAACTTCAGTATTTTAAAAAGTTAAACCAAAATTTTATAAAAAGATTATTTTATTTCCTTCAGAGTTATACTTCACATTAATTTTCACACAACTACACATTTCTTCCATTTGTGTTCACAATTTATGATTTTCAGATAAGCCCTTTTTAAAAAAAAAAATTTGCACAAATTGTTTCTAATTATTATCATTGTGTGTGACTCCATGAATTCAATTAGAAACAACTTACCAACGAGTGATTCCTAATTGCTCCCTCTTCATAAAGCAATTTCAAACTATTGATTAAATTTTGTTTTTACCCTATTATATTAATGTGCTAAAAGAAATTTTAGGAGTTAGTTCATAGAGAAAAAATAATTAATTTGTTGAAAGTTTAAGGGAAAGAATTTGAAAAAAAAATAACATTTTTTTGGCATGTAATAATTTTTAAATTGTTTAAAAATCATTCATTAAATACTTTTCTTATTATTTTAAATTTTATATAATAAGTACTTTATATTTAACTATATTTTAATTTTAATTAATTTTTAAATTTAATATAGATATTTTAACAATTATTATATTGTCAATTAATTTATTTATTTTATCAATTGAATCAATTATAAATTTTTACTTTTTTATTTTTTACTATCTTTTCGTTAATTCAAAAATATCAATTGTTACTTTCCCTCTATCTTTCTTTCTTTCTTTCTTTTATTCCCACAAATTCACTCATGAATAACAAAGAATTAATGTGAAATTAACTCTTCTTCAATGTGAGATAAAGCACTCTGCATTATAGTGTGGAACTAAATATTTTACACCTTATATAATCTAATGCAGGACTGTGAGACTTAACTTCTTTATATCTCTAATATTTTAAACGATGTTGTTATGCCTATGTAACTAATATATAGAGGACAATACAGATATACAAAATTTTATGCTTAAAAAATACAAACAAAACCTATAAAATTTTCACATTATAATTTTTTTATGATTGGTATTATATTCATAATTTTACTTTCTTTCATATATATATATATATATATATATATATATATATATATATAAGTAAAATATAATTATGTATGTTTAATTAATATTAATTAGTTTTTAAATTTATAAATATTATATTTAAATTTAATAAGTGGTTTAGTGTGATTTTTTATATTTAATGTAATGTTCAAATTAAATTATCCTAGATAACAAATACTATTCATAATAGCAAAAATTTATATTCAAATTAAAAAAAATTATCATAATGAAGTATTTACTAAAAATATATAAAATCAAACAAAATATTTTTAAAGTTCATGATATCGTTAAATATAAATAATATATTTTTTTAAAATAAATTAAATAATTTTTTAGTTCAATTGAATAAATTGTATATATACTACATAAAGTTACAATTTATTAACAAATCAGAGTGGCGCAGCGGAAGCGTGGTGGGCCCATAACCCACAGGTCCCAGGATCGAAACCTGGCTCTGATAAAGAGTGGCTTCCGGTTATTTTTTGTTTTATTCTTTCATTCTGTAAGTATGGGCTAACCTAAAACACCAAGGCCCAGTCCAAATAAAATATGGTCCATCACTATTCAATAAGAAATGAGAACTTCTAAAGCTTTATAATTTTAATTAATAATGTATGTTAAAAAAATGAATTATTAATATTTCTCCATCAATCAGTTTTTTTTTTTTGGCCAATAATTTAGGTTGCTTGTTGAATTTTGCTTAAAAGGACAGCACTTGAAACTTACATCATCATATATTAAAGAATTGATTTTTATTGTCACTCTCAAGTGAAGAACATGAAAAATTAAACTACCTATGAAAACTAGAAAACTTAGAGCTTGTAATTCAAATATGATATTCAATATATCTAGACAAAATATTATTACATTAGTCAATATTTTTCCTTAATATTTAATTTGTGTTTTATCTTAATTGTGTTATTATTATAATGTTGATACTCTAATGTGGAGACTCGCTCTAATTTTGATATTCAATTTATTAATATTTCTTTTAAATTATTATGTAAATATTACAATTTAAAGACATTGTTCAGTTTTATGATCTTTAAGAAAATTCATGATATAAATTTTAGCAATAAAAGAAATTGTATATAATATTAATTTTTTAATATTTATGTTTTTGAAGGAATTATTCGCAATGTTTCTAGAACTTTGATGTCTTGGGTGATGCTATCAAGCAACAAAAGGTTAGTGAGATTAGATTCTTTTCCCATCTTCAACAATTGCTATTTTTTTCTGTTCAATATTTTAATATATGAAATTGACCCCACAAACTATAAAATATATTTTAAACATAAAATTTGAAGCTATTATTGTTAAATACATATTAATAATTTCATTTCATTTTCAAACTGCAACCACTACTCATTTACAATTTCAAATACTACTTGTTAGGTACACTGATTATAAATGATAAGCTTAATACTATTTTACATTTATATTTGTTTTTTGATGAACAATAAATTTCTATATCTATTTATTTTCTTACTTAAATTTAACAAAAATTTAAGCCTACTAATAAATCTCATAAAATCTATTTTATAGTAACTTACTTCCTTCACTATCAATAAATTATGCAACATTTATGAAATAAATAAGAGGATTGTTATAATAAAGAGTGTTTGTGTAATTTTTTTAAGCAAATAAGAAGGATTATAGTAAGGATAGAAAAATAAAAACTGTCAAAAATTATCCATGAAAAGAAGAACATAATAATTATTCATTTAAAAAACTAATTATAACAGAAGAACACAAATAATATATATATATATATATATATATATATAATTAAAATAATAGAGATTTCATCTAAATAAATATCTTTAAAAATAAATTTTAAGAAACTAAAGAAGAAAAACTAAAAAAAAAGGATAAAAAAAGATGTGTTAAAGAAAAAAAGAATACACCAATTAAAGATAAAAAAATCTAATAATGAAAAATTGTTATTCAACACCATATTATTCAAATTAGTAATTATATATTTTTATTTAGATTATATTATGAGGTAGAGAGAGGAGCTTGATTACAACTTCTAAGTCAAGCCAAGTTTCTGGATTTTGATAATAATTTATAGGTTAAAAAGAGTGTCTTAAGGAATGTGACGTTATGTAATTTGTAGATTAGAAATTAATTAAGCGTTAAATATTTTTAATATATATATATATATATATATATATATATATTTCATAAAATTCGATCTAAAAATTGTAATTAGAACATATTAAAATGTATTGAGAGAGAAATAATCAACTGATGGGGTGGATTTAAAAATTATTAATAATTTTAGTTACATCATGAGTTTTAAATATTATTTTGTGTCTAATAGAAAATTCCTAACTTTTTATTTTCTAATAAAATTTTATTATATTTCTTCCTACATCATTATCTGAATTCTTTATTTATATGGTTAAAATATCATCTTTAGAATAAAAATAAACTAAAGTATTGATAAAAAAAATATCCACAAGCATTAAAAATAAATTTTGATAAGTTATAATTATAAGAAGATTCTTAAATGTCATAATTAAATATTTAATTTTCAAGTTGAAGAAGAGATTAAATCTTAACTTATAATAGAATCTAACTTATAATTTGTGTTTTTGGATAACAATAATGCAATTTTTTTATTGAAAAGTCAAAGGTTAGAGGAAAATCTTTTCATTTTCACACTAAAAAAAATATTACTAACCCAAAATAGAATTTATAATTATATATCAAGATTTCGCTGAATATATTTTTATATACATTTAAACTCTAGTTGTTGTTAGATATGAAATATATAGAAGGAGTTTGAGACCAATCTACATTTAAATTAATAAGCATATCAACAATATATATATATATATATATATATATATATATATATATAAAATTAGAAATGTTGAACCCCAACCACATAAATATTTAATTAGAAATGAATTTATGTTTAAAATTAATTTGAATTAATTATGAATCTAAGGTTATTGTTGCAAACTATGCTTATTAGGTTGTTGAATAATCATTTGTCATCCTATAATCACTCAAACAAATACTAAAATATAATTGTACTTATTATTAGTATTATTTTATAATATAATTTTTAACTTTTATTATTAATATTATTATTTAAATTAAAATATAATTAATTATTTAATATATTATTAATTTAAATTTAAATTATGAAAAATATCACATAGATGTAATATTACTCCCATAACTAAGCAAACATCTATAATTGTACTAATATTATTCCTTCGTCATTCTTGAGTTTTGCCATAAACTCTGAAAATGTTAATATGACTGAACTTATCCTTCAGTGCAATTAGGTGCAACTGAATTTTTTTATTTTTTTTAAGTTACTAAGTTTCTTTAGCCTATTATTTCTTATGATCAGAAGCTAAAGGTTTGGATCAATTGACATATATTAGTAAAATTTTATTTTCGTGTTATTACTTTTATAAATAATTAATTAATATCTGACTCTTTTTTTCAATTGATTATATTTTTAATTCTTATATTATAAATAGATAAACATAAAAAGAGTGAATACTTTACTGCAATAACCTACTACGCAAATTTGTAAAAGAAAAAAACTAACACAAAATGATTATTTATTGTCAAATTTTTATCTATTATTCCCACAATTGTCAAAACACTGCAAATACGTATGATAACTCTCCCAAAGTCAAACATGAGGTCACCATCAATTTTTTATGGAAGAAATTCTCAACCGGAAATGTTATTCACAAAACAAAACCGAACAAATGGAAAGAAAAATAAATAGAGCTCAAGCAAGAAAAGAATTATGTTTCTCAACTCGTGTACAACAATATAATAGTTGGATTAACAAGAGTATTTTAAATATTTATATGCTGAAATTTTTAGAATATTATTTTGATATTGGAACTTATTGCAGAGTTCTTTATTCCTGATGAATTACTTGGTCAAACCTCTTAATCGGTTTTTGATTCGGATGAGTTTGTCTGTCATTTTCGATAGAAAAGTTTTCTGTGCAGTTACTGCACCGAGAATCTTATATATTTTATGGTTGAAAAGCAATTAACATGACAATTGTTACGTAAGAATAAATAACCCTTCTTAAGAATTTTAAAACAAATGTAAGATTAATCTTCTTTTCTTTCTTTTCTTATAAGGTTACATATTAGAGAGAAAAAACTTGTCAATAAAATTCTTGAATCTTAGGTAACATTTTGATACACCAGAAGTGAGTTAGTATCTCAGTACGTATAATATTTGTAATAATCATAAAAGAGTTGACGCTCATTATTTCTTTATATTTTTATTATTTTATCACATCATATTTTTATTATATTTTTATTTTCCTTTTACTCTCACCAATGACATGTTATGTTAAGTCATTTTTCATAAACACTTCATTGATAACTGAATTCCATGTTAAAACTCTAATAAAGTGTAGATGAACCCCAGATGTACACGCGTGTGTGTGTGTAATATGCATTGCAGAACAGGAAGAGGGTAGTGTGTGTGTAATATGCATTGCAGAACAGGAAGAGGGTAGAGGGAGAAGGAACAGAAATGAAGAGCACTAGGAGTGAAGTGAAGAAGAAATCAGAGATAGGTTCTGCTATTGAAGAGCTTTCTACTATGATCATAATTAAACCTGATGAAAATCATGACTCTGCTCATATCCCCACCAAGCCTTTCCTTTCTGTTTGTTATTTGGTGCTGCAAGTTCTTGGTGAGTTCACTTGGTATTTGATCTCATTCATCATGTTCCAATTTGAATGTGAACATGATGTGACACCTAAAACATTTTTATAACGCGTCTTGCAGATAAGATAGGACCAACAATGGCTGTTTTGAGACACGACGTACACCAGAATATTAAGGTAAAATTTCATCAACCACCAAACCCCTTCTCTCTGAACAATCACTATGGCAATTGGTTTTGTTAGATGGATTTTTCTTTCTTTCTTTTCTTCCATGTTTGGTTCTTGTTGATTATTTACATGAGATGAATTTGTTGACTATTAAGTTATAGTCATAATTTATTAGATAATCTACTATCATATAATACCAACTAATGTTTGCATAATAATATATATCAAGTAATTATAGATTGAAATCATGAGTTGTGGTAGAGGATCTAAGGTAAGAGTTGACACAGTTGTACATTGCTGATCATCACTCAGCTACCAATTATTAGTTAGACTGTGTATTGAATTCTGTTTTGTTGCAGACATTGGAACTGATGCATGAGTCAAATACCTCAGTGAACTCGAATCTGATAGAGATTTTGAAGTCTGAAGCAAAAGAAGGCACTGCAAGACAAGGGTCTAGCTGCAGTAAGGCCATGGTTTGGCTCACTAGGTGAAAAATCACAAAGACATTAATTTATATAAATAATACAATATTTACAACCTTGATATTCCTCTCACTATCAGAAATGTATAGAAATTCTGTATGACTAAAATGATCTGTATGTTTTGTTGAATTTTGCAGGACACTGGATTTCACCTCGTCGTTGTTACAAACTCTAGCAAAAGACCCTGAAAAAAGAATGGAGGAAGTAGTTGAAGAGGTTTATGAAGTAACCTTAAAACCGTGGCATGGATGGATATCATCAGCTGCTGTCAGAGTAACAACCACTTATTCTTTATCTTCCATGGTTTAATCAATTCTTTGCTTGTTGATGGATTTGTTGGCTATTTTACCTATAGGGTTCAATTCAGTTCGAATACGAATTTATTTTAGTTTGGATCCTTTATCTACTTTTTGGATATGAAAAAAATGGAAGTTATATACAAAATAGTTTTAATTTGAATATGAAAAATATGAAAATAACTTCAATCTGATTATGGATCATGATTCCAAGTTTATTTGATCCAAGGTGAAATCAAACATACATATGATGACCAAAAGAGTTTACATTTTAAGGAATTGCAGGTGGCTCTAAGACTGGTACCAGAAAGTAAAACATTTATGGATATTCTTAAAACTGAAGAGGAAAACTATGACACCCTAAAGGAGAACATTCAGATGTTGGTTTCTCTGTTTGTGCCTTTTCTTGAGGATATCCATTGTATTCTAGTAAGCTTGGTTACCTGGTTCATAACATAACTTTAATTGGTCATGAGATTTTCTCTTGTGTGCTTACATTGTGAATATTTTTGCAGAGATTGTTTAACTTGGACACGATAAGGTCAATCTGAAGTCAAGGAGAGAATAATTAATGCTAGATTTGTGTATACTCCTTTTCTGGAGAGAAATTATTAAAATGGATTGAGACAGTTATGTTTTCTATTCATCTTTACAATGTAACTAGGGATTAATAATATTTTCTATAATTACATTTTATGTAAAGATTAATAGAGTTGAGATAATAAAGAATTACGATTTTAGAGTACACAATAGTTTTCCTTTCTGTAAAGTTACTTTAATATAAATGAAAATGTAAATACTTTGTATATTAAAGTTTGTATGACAAATAATTATGCATGGCATCATCCTCAATACGCGTTGACGGTTATCTCTCTCTTAAATATATTTATAAAGTGCCCTTCAAATGTTTCTTTTGTGCTTGAAGCAATCACACACACACACACACAGAGATATATATATATATATATATATATATATATATATATATATATATATATATATATATATATATATATATATATATATATATATTGCATTGTCACTTCTTTCACATTATATATACATTTCTTAAATTTCAAAATATTATACTTCAATATAAGATAAATCATGTTAGAGAAGAACAAAAGTAGAAGGTATAAAAATATTTTATTATAATTCACTCAATATATTTTAGAGATCCATTTAATTTTTTTATACATTCAAACACTAAATAAGGATGTTATGTTATTATTATTAAATTCGACATGCCTCAAATGGTAGAAGACGAAATAGACCAATAGAAGAAAAAAAAATGTAGAGAGATTTCCAGCGTACCAGTAAACAGACAAAGACAGATCCTCCAAAATTGGATCTCTTTCTGGGTCCTCTGCCTCTGCCTAGCTCACGCAGACTGCTGCAATAACAAGTCTTTGCAATTTCACTCAACCAAACCAAAACTTTCAATTTTCCATTATCATAATCATTTTCTCATATTCCAACTTCAGATCCTTCAATTCAATTCTGTTTGTGAATCATATGAACCTTCAAACGCCACATTTCGCCTCTCAATACTCCATGTGACCTCCTTCATCACTCTTGCTCCCACTGCGATCCAATGATCCGTTGCTTCGCTTCACTCTCTTTCCCAAATCATAGAAAACCCCCATTACGATGAACAGTTATCCTTTTGGATCCCAGGCTCCCAAGTCCTTTCTCGCATACCCAAGAAACGAATTTGACTTAGAATCAGGAAACGCCATAAAAAGAACCCGAAAGCCCAAAAATTCGCCCTTTCATCCCATCAGAATGATAAAATCATTTGGGAATCGTTTGCACCACTTCCTCAAGCTTCACCCTCTAATGGGTCTCTTCCTGGCCTTGTCCTTTGTGCTTACACTTGTCATGATTTTCTCTTTGTATGGAACGCAATATGGGGTGCTGAGTGGTTATGTAAAAGCTGACATGGGTTTTGATTATCCTTTCTCCAAGCTTCAAAACCTTGTGATGGTTGCTGGGCATTCTGTTTACACAAGCAGTAATTGTGGCAAAATTGACAGAGAGGATTCTTGGTTTTTGGAGTCTTATCAGAAGAATCCTGGCCAAGCTTCCACTTTTGTGACACACATTCATGAAGGGATTGAAATTGTGGCAAAGGATGACTCTGCCTTGCTCCTCTTCAGCGGTGGGGAGACTAGGAGAGATGCCGGCCCTCGAAGCGAGGCGCAGAGTTACTGGGCTGTTGCGGATTCAAAAGGGTGGTTTGGTGAGTCATGGGCACTTGCATTGCAGCTTATTTTGTCTGATTGGTGAAACTCAATGCCTGTTCAATGTTTATTGTTAGGGATTATAGCTTAGGAACAATTATCAAAGGAGAAGGAATAGAATTGCCTGTTTGTACTGTTAGTTTTTGTCATGTGTTTGCTGCAGCTGCTTTGGATATGTAGTTCGATGCTGTATAGAGAGGATCAGACATTATGTGTGAGATATGAATGTCCAAAAACAAATTTGAAATAAATGATAATTGAACATTTTAGATTAAGTAAGGAATTGAGCTGGCCTTGGGTTGTACTTATGCAACCCATGTATGTGAATAGAACATGAGAATTGGTAAATTGAATTTGTGGTTTCCTTTATTTGCAGTCATCTTTTCTCATTAGCAACAAGATCATATATCTTGGGTACTGCAATATTTTTATTTAAATATCATATGTTAATTTTAGTAGAATTGTTTTTCACATTTTCATGTTATAGAATATTTCTTGTAATGTTAACAAGTCAGTTGTCAGTTTGAGCACTATAAGAGATGACGCTAAGAACTTTCTTATGGGGATAAGATTACCTCAAGGTTTAGTCATGTATCTTTACTTGTTTTATCAATTTTGGACGTGTTTTTCAAGAACATACAAAAGATTTTCTATCCCTAACTTCATGTTTTTTTGCGGATGACAGTCTTTATTGAGGAATCAAGGGAAATAGTTACATTGGGCTCCATTGGAGACAGACTTTGAAAACAATGGTTTTTAACTTACCAGGACTACACCAGAGTATATGAATTTTAGCTTTAGCAAGAGACAAGAAGCTGACTTGAATTGAAAGTAAAAATGCACGAAGATATCGTACTATAAGTTTCTAAGTTTAAATCTAACTTAGTTGGTTGCGTAGTATGTCAGTATTGTAAATCCACTTACATTGGAGTTAGACTCCTTCCTATGATGAATCAAATAAAAAAATATCTCTGATTAATTTACAAAATGATAGTGAAATTAATGAGGATGTTACACAAAGGATAATAGCAAGATGGCTAAAATAGAGAAAAGCTTTCAGAGTTATTTGTGATTGCAGAGCATCTACAAAAGTCGAAGGTTAGTTTTATTATACTTTTGAACATCCAGCTGTATTAAATGGTAGTGAATGTTGCGCTTTAAAATGAAGACATGAAAGAAAGGGTGAAAGTAGTAGAAATGAGCAAGTCATTATAGATGTGGGGCCGTACAAGAAATGACAAGATACAAAATGATTATATACAAAAAAAAATTCGTATAGCAATAATTGAGAAAAAGATGATAAAAAAATCCAAAAAAGTGGTTTGCTCTCATACAAAGAGGGCCATGAGAGCCCCCAATTAAATAGTACGTTGCATATTTTTAGTTTTGTGAAAAGGAGGAGAGAAAGACCAGAAAAGAATCAGGAGGAAGTTGTCAGGGTTTTTAACTATGTTGCATGACATTGTATGCTCCATGTAAGATAAGGCTTTAATGTTGTTATTTACAAGTTATGCGTCTGAATAAATATAAAACGGAATAGTGCATGCATTAGGCTTGTAAATTTGAAATTCTAATGAGTTGACTTTATCGAAAGCTACTTCAATTTTCAAAATATTTGATTTTAATGCATCATCTTGGGTAAACTCATTCTATTTGAGTCCAACTTCTGGGATTTGAAAGCATCTAAAATCACAGGGAAATTTATTTTAGTGAAAGAAAGGAATGTGCAGACAGGGACAATCTTTTTGTAAAAGCTGATTTGTTAATGACTTAGGAAGCGATACAAACCTGAACTTTCATGGGCTTGAGTTCAGATTAATAGTTTATGTCATGGACCTACTAACTTATGAATAGAATGTTAGCCTGATGAATTTCTGCTGCAGCATTTTTCTGAGTTTTCTCAGGGTGCGTTTGATATGGATTTCACCGTCTTTCAGCTTTAGTTTATATGCATATGCTTCCCAAATTAAATTTTATAAAAATTATCTCATACTTTTTGGGATGTTTTTGTAGGTAAGGAAGAAAGTGTGAAATGGAGAGCACTGACAGAGGAGCATGCACGTGACAGCTTTGAAAACCTTCTATTTAGTGTCTGTCGGTTCCGGGAGCTTACTGGCTCCTATCCCCAAAATATAACTGTACGTAAAGCCTTTCTTATGTGATTTTAACCATTTTATTCCTTTGTTGCATGAGAAGCTTTTACTGCTCAGAGTTAGTTGCTGATAAATGCAGTGATTAAATTAGTCAAATATGTTACTAATGTGTATAGCACATACAACAATTGAAGTCAATCATTTTGTATTCTCAATGAAATTAAATGGAGTAATCTTTAATGATCCTGCATAGGTCCTCTTTGTAGCCATGGTAAATAATGAAGCATTTTAAGTTGTAGCAAAGAAGCTACTACGAATTATTAATTACAATACTTCAGAGGGTAAAATGTTGGAGAAAACTTACATACAATACTACTATATACACTGTTGATGTTAGTTCTCCAATCAGATTTGGATTAACCTATGACATTGTATGTAAGTTTGTCCGAAAATGTTAACTCACATTATATTTATTGATGGTATCCATCAATTGCACCATATAACATAGACCTCCATAAATTATGGCTTCCATTGTTGCATTAGACCTTTACATGATGGCTTATTTTGATAACACGCACTTGACTTACACTCTTTTTTCCTTGCATGTTTCAATCTGATTTGTTGAATCTGGGAATCAGGTTGTGAGTTATGATTTCAAGGAAAAAAGGTTTGCGCATCTACATCGTTCTGCGATAGGCTTTCCAGAATCAAGGTTCTCCTATGCAGGCACTCCTGCTACAGCAAATGCAAAAGCTGCTGCTCTAAGAGGTGAGGAATTGGTTAGAACTCAATTCCAAAATGATCCATATGGCTGTCGAGGTTCACTTTACCACAAGAAACTAAAGCGTGACCCTTTTCATCGCTCAATTCCTTATCCCAATGGGTGTCCTGAAATTGAAGGTTTATTCAAATATTGTGGACCTACTCCTTACCCTGCTGCCCTTCCATGGGCACAGTAAGCAACATGACATGGTCAAGTTATACAATTGTATACTAACAAATAGAGATATTAGAGACAAATTACATAGATTCGAAATTGCAGAATTGTTGATAAACATGATGTGAAGATTACATTTTGTTCAGGAGAGATAATGACAGATTGTGTAGATCAAAATGTTGTTGCATGTTTGTGTGAGGAGGTTTATTTAAATTCTGGGTTACTCAAATTGAAGTTTCAAAGTAGGGATGACAATTAAACCCGTACCTGTGGGACCGATCCGTCCCCGTCCTGAGTTTGACTAGAAAAACCCGAGTTGACCAGGGGCGGAGGCAGGTTCGGGTTTTTTCCGCTTTAAAAAGTCGGGGGCGGGAGCGGCGATGGGTAATGTAATCCCCACCCCGCCTCCGTCCCGCTCCGACTTTATATTTAAATTTAAAATTTAAAATATTAATACTTTAAATGTATTTTCTTTTCTTTTTCTATTACATATAAGTTTTTTTTTTTAATATTTCACCAATTTTTATTTTTCTTCTACCCACTTTTAATTTTTTTGTCTTTTTTAATCTTTTATATCAATTAATTTATTCCATTATTCTCTCTTACCTTTTTGTTTTTATATTTTCTTAATTTCTCCCATCAATTTATTTATTTTTTTAATCTTTTCAATCAATTTAATGAACACAAAGTAATTTTTTTTCTTTATGTTTTTCTAAATATTTTACACTAGTAGTAACTAATATTATTTTATTTATAATTTATATTTATTAGATTTTATAATATCATTTTTTTTATCTTTATTATTCTTATTTATCATATATCAAATTTTATCTTAATAAAATAATTGTATTTTAAAGGATTAAAAGAAATTAATAATTTAAACTTTTATTACTTTGCAATAATTAAATAAGAATTAACTTATTAAATATTTTCTTATAAACTATATATTTCATATTTTTAAATGACAACTTAAAAATGAATTAACTTATATATATAATCAAATGTTTGAATACAAGTATTATAATAATAATGTTACAAATATTTAAATATTTGAATACGAGTGTTATAATAATAATAATGTTATAAATAAAAAATAAATAAATATTTCTTTTACATACATATTTTAATATAAATATAATAAATTAAAATGTATATTTAATTAATAATAATTATAAAATTATAAATATTTATTTATATATAAAAAATAGATAGTAAAATTAATTTATTATAAATGTAATTATCTTTTTAAAAATAATATAGATTGGGGACGGGACGGGGCGGGAGCGGGGAACCCGAAACCCAACGGGGACGGGGATGAGACCTTAATTTCTAACCCCGACAGGGATCGGGGCAGTGGACGAGGATAGTTAAAAAGTCTGGGGCGGGATCCGGGAGGCAAAACCCGCCCCGCCCCGTTACCATGCCTTACAAACCGAGGAGGGGCTGAAAGGATAAAATTGTAAATATACAAGTAAATATCTTGGGAGGGGGCCACGGATAAATATACAAGTTTGGAGGGGTCAAAATCATAAATTACATGGGAGTTATAAAACTTTGGGGGTCACGACCCCTCGACTCTGAAGAAGATCCTCCACTGCTTACAAAGACACCATCACTCGCTACCTTTGATTGTCTCCTTCCGGCATTACCCTTGTTATCGTCATTGTTTATTATCATTACTACAATAATTCATGAAAATACAATAATATGTAATAATTACAATCTCTTAATTTCGTAATTAATTTGATGAGTGAGCAAGTGAGTTATTTTTGTGTTCTATAACCATGTCTTGAAATAAAATAAAATATATAAAATTTGAAGTTAGACGTAATGTAAGGTATGGTGCAATTTTTCTCTATAATTGTTTTCAAGTTAGATGTAGTTTTTTCTCTAATTATTTTCAAGTTAGTTGTAGTTTTTTTCCTTAATTATTTTCAAGTTAGTTGTAACGACAATTTTTTTCTCTAATTGTTTTGTATTCTAAGTGTTTAATGATATATTTATTTATATTACTTTTTTTATATATTTTATAAAACATTCTTATTATTATATAATATTTTTTCAAATATCATTTATATTGAATTTGATTTGTTACTTTATTGTGATAAACTTATTTTAAAATCAATATGTTATTTTATTAAATTCAGCTCAACTTCGATTTAATTCCTGATTAAACTTTTGAATCTTAAACTCATACATTCACCGGTTTAATGATTGGTTTGATTTTAAGAACCATAGTTATACCTTAATTATTTTTTCTACCCAGGGTTGTGCTTATGCCTATATGGTAATGAAGAAAGAAATAGGAAAAAAGAAAAGAAAAAAAGAAAAAAATGAAAATAAAGATCGTATGATTGAAAAAAAAATCGAGAGAAAATATTTTTACATAATTTTTGTTATTTATTTATTATTTTTATTATTTCGTGTAATTTATTAATAATCATTTAGGATGTATTTTTTTCTTCACTTTTTTATTGTCTTTTTTTTAAATAGTTTTAGTAATTTTTGACAAATTTTCTCTCCTTTGCGTTTTTTTTTTCACCAAAGTGTTTGATTTTTTTAACCTAATATGCTAATTGAATGTTAATTTAACACTGAGGCACAACGTTTCAAATAACATCAACTAACCATTAATTTTCTGTAAGTATTAGCATCTATAAGCCCATTCATATTTATTAAGTATTTGTTTGAATCACAAAATTATTAGGTCACCGTTTTAAAACTTTTTCATTCTCCTAACAACCAAATCAATTTTTAATGATCTAATTTTATGTATAATTAAATTTGTATAATACATGATCATTTTTTGTCCATTTGTATTTGATATGATTTGCTAGTTTCTCATCTTATATTTATTGTACAATGTCAGACAGCGAGCATTATTATCATTTAGTTGTTTTACAACTTTTTCTTTTTAATTATTACAGTATTTTCAATTGAATCAAAATATATTAACTACTTCATTACTTCTATAGATGTCATTGGTCATTTGTCAGGGAAGGAAATTGTTAAAGAATGAGAACAAAGCTAAATTGTGTAAGACGTGGAGTAAGTTCTTTACTTAATGGGCTTTTACTTTTTATATTTGAGATATTAACATTTTTTTTATTGACATAAATGTTATTAACATCTCACAATTTTTTATTTATTTTGAATTATCATCATATTTGTTGATGACATATGATTCACATATCTCACAATTTTTTTTTATTTGAAATATCAACTTATTTTTTTATAGAGGATTTAGAGCCTATTTTCTCATTTTTCCTTTTGTTCCATGCCTAAACAAAAATCGATTAACCAAAGTCAAAGCATTGAAAGGATTGATTTAGATGAACTTCTTCCAACACTTCTAAGGGCAGAAAATGTAAATAAATATATAAATATATTTTTTTAACTAAAATTAATTTGTATATAAAATAATTAAAAAAACTGATTTATTAACTTTTCTAAAAGTCATGTATAAACTAGTTTATTTCATAAGAAAAAAAAACACTTAATAGAAAAAAAAATCATGCTAAATATATACACTTATATTTCAGCAATTTCACCAAAATATAACGACGTAGTTTAAAATTTCACGTCGATTCGTGTGACTATATATACACTGAACTGTTGGGAAAAACACTATCTTCTACTTCTGGTGGTTCTTGCTTTTGATTGAAAATGCTGTCGTTTTCCACTGGATAAGCCACTATCACTGAAACATCCATCACCCATAGTATCATGAACGTCAGAAAATTCCGGCATTCGTGATCGCAAGGGAACAAGATAACAATCATCCCTGGCATTTTGCGTACGCTGCTCATGACGTTTCACATTTTCTGATATCTGATGGAAGGTTTTGTTAATCTTTGCGATGCCCCTTTCAACAGGTTCCACCACATGAGAAACTGTAAATTTCATGTCATCCACAATCTGAAACATAACACAGCGGTACAGCCAGAGTGAGACAGAGATATGAGAATATTTAAAGGTGGAACTGGTTTAAGTGTTCATATCTCACAATTTCGCTGCTTCCAACAACCACGTCCCGAACACTCTGCGTAAATTTCATAGGTTTTTCTCTCTCATTATGTGCTCCAAGGCACGTTCTTGTTGAGCGTTGACAGTCTCGAACCTCTTCAGGGTCAGGAGATGACCCTAGCGAGGCATAGTTGGTCATCACCGCTACATTACGGACACACCTCTCCCCCCTTTTGTAAGGTTCTGCTGGGAAGACATAAAGGTGCACAACAGCAGCCACGCCCATCTGTTTACAAATTTTAAGATGGCCAACCGCATGAAAATGGTCTTCCCAGAACTTCAAAATGATTGAAGATTTGTTTCAAGTAAAATACACTCAAGAATTTATAGTATGAACATAAAAGATAACATAAAAGGGAGAACCTGAGTTAACATAACACATACTATTTTACATACAACAGCTAACCAGTCTAGTCTTGATTAACTGAGGAAATAACCACAATGAATCTGTCTCAGTTGTAAAACAAAGCAGTCACTTATCACAAAAGAAACTCCGTAAAATAGAATCCAACCTAATATTTAATATTTTGAGGTTCATGATGAATGATCATTTAATGTAGTACCTCAAATATCCGTATTTGTGGCATGGGTTCATGGTTTTCATGCAATACAAGTGATAATGAATACAGTTCAGATTAATTCAAAACACAAATCAAATGATAGGAATATATCAGTACACCTTAAAATCTAAATATCTAAATTTTTTTATAGTTCTCTATCAAACCAGATAATATACATCATAAGCAGCAAAACTAGTGTACCTCTATACAGATGATGTAGTCTTGTATACGTGTCTTCAACTCCTGAGCCAGCGATCCCCTAAAAGCTCCCACATAAAATAGAAATGCAACAGCCACACTTTGCCACCATGTCAGGAAGACAATTGATTTGAAAGTCAGAAACTTTGCCAATGGTTTGATTGGTTTCAACTTATCTTTAATAACAGAATAGAACTGTACAAGGCAATATAAGGCCCACGTCTGACTAAAGTTAAGA